AGCGGCGGGGTTTGTTAGTAAATAATAAAGAGAGTGAGTTTTCTATCTCCTCCTTCCTCGTGGTTTCAAATCAGCGACCTTGTGGTTTCAAACTTGGCGGGTTTCCGATCGAGGGCTTTGGTGGGTTGGTGGTTTCGATGTTGGTCGGTTGGTTTCGATATTGTGGGTGCATTGGGTGGTAGATGGTAGTTTGTGGGTGCGTCGGTGGTAGATCGTGCTAGGTGCGTCGATGGTAAATCGTGCTGGGTGTATCGGTGATGCTGGTGATGCAAGGTTCGTGGGGTTCGATGCTGGGTGGTTTCGGTGATGTCGTGTGGTGGTGGTGGGTGGTCTCGGTGATGCTTGGTGGTGTCGGTGGTGGCGGGTTATTCCCTTATTTTTCCATAATCATACTTCCTATATTTTGCCTTGGTTTCCGTAAACATGTCATTTGTTGCGAGTAAATTGTACCGCAAGTAGTATAACGGTCAAAATAGTTTTATTTTTGGTGAAAATATTCGACCAAAAAAAAAACCTGCTAATAAGTAATTTTAATAATGGAAATTTAGTAGCTTTTGACAATCACTACTCTAAAAAAGGACAATGAAACAACACTATTTCAAAAGCTAAATTGCTATCTAAATTTGTTGTTCAACACACCCTACATTCACCTATATTTGTGGTTGAATTTTTACAATAATTGACTAGTTTATTCCGAGTATACCAACTTGTATACTTTTGTGGATAAATAATTGATATTATAGGTTATCTTGCGCCCCAGAGAGTAATGCCAATACTTTCAATACAATAAGTGAAGAGACTAATCATAGTCAGGTCTTGAATTCATCATAACTAACTTTGATAACAAAACATAATGAATTGTGTTTTAACACTATGTTTGGACTTAGAGGGGAAGAGAAATGAAAGGGATGGAATAGAAAGGGAATGAAAGATTCATTTTCTCTCTTTCTATATAACACAAATTTGTCTAATGTTGAAAAGAATTTGAGGGGAAATGTAGCTTTACGTATTCCCACCTCTTCCTTTCCTTCCTTTCATTCCGTCCCTTTCTCTTCTACTTTGCTACCCTAACAAACCGTGATAATCAATGTTTTTTTAAAAAGTTTTTACTATTGTCTCTCTTTATATTAGTAAACTTAAATAGCTTTTAGAGTTTCACAACTTGATTAACGAAGAAGTGCGAACACAAAAAATAATCTTATTATTTATGCACACTCAAGAGCCAAAATTTGGAAATAAGGGTCATTTCAATCATGATTTCATGAGTTAGAATGTGTATCAATGCTGAGAGTGTAAGACACCTTTGCAATTGAGAATGAATTGTGATGAAGACACTATTGTTTTTTACAATTGTATTTCCTACTAGTGTGTAAGGAATAAGGGAGATACGTCTAATTTAAGTCTTAAAAATGCGACTAAGAACCAAGTCTACTCGATAACCTTCCCTAAAACTCATTGATGTAGACTGTAATTTGGTTAATTGAAAGATCTATTACAAAATTTGTAACTCCATCTACTAGCTGGGTGAGTTATCCTTCTCCAACAACTTTCAATATTGTTCCTATTACTATCGTGGATGCAAACCTTCTTATGGATTTGATTCAATTTGACTTTTAATTTCATACTTTCAAATTCAAGAATTTTGTCTTGTACTCCTTTATTAATGATGCTCAAGGCAGGTTTTGAATGACCTATGGCGGGTCAAATAAGTAGATAGTTCGAACCATAATTCTCATGGTTATTTTTGTATTATACATGCAATAGCAACAACCTTCACATAATTTATTTTAAATTCCTTATCTCCATGTCTAAACCTCTAACAAAGGTATTCTTATCAGAGCACTGTTCTCAAATACATTGCATATACTTCCTCCGTTAACTATTATTTGCAACATATACTTTAAATGGATGCTAACTGTTTGGGTACTAAAATGGTCATACACATTTTAGCCTTAGGTAATTCTACCCATAGAAGCCCAAAGGGCATAAAAAGGTCTACAAGGCTCCAAATAAGTCAAATGCATCTATATGGCCTACAACGGCCCATATATGTACTTTTAGGGCTCACAAACCCACTATGTACTCCTATATATACCCCTCTAGGGGTCAAAGGTAAACGAGGTCACTCTTATCATCTAAGATGACCATACTCCTCCACTCTCTCACCTAAACTCCTCTCAAAATATGCATTGTTTGGCGACTAACTTGGGCGTCGGAGGCTTCGCCCCGGGGTCCACCCCCGGGGCCCGGGGTTCATTTTGCAGGTCCATTAAAGGCCCAAATTAATTTGAGGTCCTCAGGCGCCCCTCCAAGGTTCGGTTAGCTCATTTTTTTCCGAAACACTAACTATTATGTGCAACAAATGTTTTCTTTCCTTTTAAGGTTATCATTTCTCTCAATCTCTCTCCTTATCACATGCACTCAATTTTTCTCTCTTCATTTTACACTCACAAACAAATTTTGCCTAGGAGTCCGCAAACACCTCCTTTGTTACAAATAATAGTTAACGGAGGAAGTATATTTTTTACAGACCACATTATAAATTTCTGTATTGAAATTACCTTCACACACTAGTTACTACATTTTCTCATATACCCATGCATTTATTTCAATAAGTCATGCTCAAACTATTACAACCACATATATAATCGAATCTACTAATTAGTTGTTGACTTAATGGTAAAAACTGAGAGTTTCTCTACAATAAATCACATTTTAAAATAATCTCCCCATGACTCTTCCCCCTACTAGTAATTTGCAATGCCCTTGTAACTCATTTGGACAAAAAAAAAAAAAAAAAAAAAAATTTCATTTGAATCCAAAGAAACAGAACCTGGATCCAACTTATAAAGTGCTAGTTTAGGACATTGAAAAACTTTTGTATAAACCCGATTTACACTAATATTATTGTACATCAAGCTATATAAAGGTAACTTTTAGCTAATTTTAGGGTAACTTTTTGTTCTTTTTTGGGTAACTTTAAACATAATACAATTTTTGTATAAAAAGATAACAAGAAAAGTTTTATAAAGGTAATTTAGTTACACTCAATCACTAATAATTGATTTTTAGTCATTTAAAATGTGATTCTTTACTAATAAAGCGTATATAATTTTTATTTGTATTGGGTTAATTTTATGCATATTGGGCTAATCTAATATATATAAATAAAGTAGGCATTTTTCGAAATCATTCAGGGCGCCACATAAGAAAAGTAAATATTTCGTCCAATGATAAATTAGATTTGTATTTTAATTTTGAATAAAATAATTGTATCGCCACGTAGGTAAAAGTAGCGAATAAGGTATGGTATTTATCTTATAAAATTTTAACGCCACATAAAAAAATTGTATCGCCACGTAGGTAAAAGTAGCGAATAAGATATGATATTTATCTTATAAAATTTTAATGCCACGTGGATGAAAAACCACAAATTTTATTTATCATTATCTTTATTTATCTTATAATAATTTTCATCTATCATTATCTTTATTTGTCTTATAATAATTTTTTTTTTAAAAAAAATTTCTTAAAAAGAAAAGTGCACAAATTTTACCAACGTAATCTAGCTTGTGACACTATATCACAAATACTAAATAATACCTCCGAAAAAAAAATTATATTTAAATGATAAAGTATCATTATAAGATAAATTTTGATAGTGTTTATGATAAGAAATTAAAATTGTTCATTAATCATAATTAAATTAAATTTTTTATACCTTCTGTTATAAATTGACACATATACGACACCAACAAAATTTCATATTTATACAAAATTCGCATCTAGAGAATTTTGTATTGGTAATTTTATGTCAGTTTTAGGTCATCAATGGTAGGGTACTTTTTAGCTTAATTTCATATGTTTATGTTTTGTTTGATGAATTTCGTTTTTACATGCAGATTAGAGAATTAAATTCGAGCAAAAATGATTAAAAATTCAAAGTACGTGTTTTTCACCTGTTTGATGTACTAAATTTCTGGAAACAAAATAGCTTAATAAGTCTGGATATGGTAATATTGGATGAAGAGGTATTTTTAAAAACAAATATTGTGATTTGGATTGCATAATCAACTTATTAAATTAATTTAATTTCTTATTTTTAATTTCAGGGTGATTACACAAGTTCATGCCTCAATTTAAAGCCAATTGTGTTCAACATTTTCGTCCAAACTTGATTGAAGACTATGAAATGTTTACTCTATTAGAAACTTTTCAGTCGTTCCAAATAATAAGCAATATCGCGTTGTCATATCGACAACAAAATAATGATTCAATAATTAATGACGAAAAAATTCCAATGCATAGATTTAATTTTATACATTTACAATTTTTAGATCTATTTCGCAACAATTATGTCGATATTTTTTATTAGGTTTTAATAATATTCTTACATATATTTGTGTGTATCTAATAATTTTTTTTACATTTTGCTTATGTGTAATTTTTTTAATGTTCTTATTGAAATATTTATTAGGAAAAACAAGTTTATGTAAAGCTTTGGAATAATATTTTGTTGAGCATACGAAACAGAAAAATCAACTTAAGTTTGTTTTTTTTTTTAAAAAAATTATTCTTATTCATTAGTCAAGTATGCAAAACTTGAATTTGTTAAATTGAAATAAACTATGAAAATATTATCTCATTCGTCGGGTGGTTAAATAAAATCATTTAGATCGATCAAAAGATTTTTTTAATTCTATTAAAAAAAATTAATTTTTTAAATTAATTTTTAAAAATATTCTACTTCTAATATAAAAGATAATAAGAAATTACAAAATAATATACAAAATGAAATACAAAAAAACTGTGCATCGCACGGGCTTACATCTAGTTTTTATTTATTTTCAAGGGTAACTTTTGATCATTTTAAGCTATATTTATAATGAATGTACAATAATTATTATACACCCGATTATTTTAAAAGTTTGTGTATGGGCATTAATCCAATAAATAAAAGAATTTCAGCCCATTTTAATCTCAAATACCCAGATCCATATTGTTCAGCCCAATTCCTCCCCAACTACAGAAACCCTGAACTAGGCTCATATATATACAAAAATAATACCACCCAAAATGATGCTTTGAGTCTTCTTCTTCATTGTTAGGGTTTATCAACACCAGATCTTCCTGCCGCCTGCAACAATGGTACTCACTCTCTCATTTCTCTTGCTGTTAATCTTACGATTCGTTTCATTTTTTTGAAAAAAAATAAAAAAATCAGTGAATTATTTTCACTTTTTCGGCTTGATTATCATCTATCATCAATTTTTGAGGATATTTTTTTTTTTTATTAATTTTTGATATACAGAAGTTAGATTTCGTGGAATGAGACTAATTTTTGCTTCGATTTTTGCGATTTTTGTTTGAATTTATGTTGGATATTAAATAATCTTTGGATTATACAGATATTTGAAACTGGAAATTGTATAATTGTACTAAGTTTTGCTTTGATTTGTGCGATTTTTTTCCTTTCAATATAGTGTTTGAATTATGTAATACGGAATACTATAAATCGAAGCTATACTATTAGTAATTCCTGCTAATGAACTGGTTTCGTAGCTTAAATTTTGAAGCATTTGATTGTTTACGATCATGAAGAACTCTTAGTTTTAGTTACAAATAGTATCGATTAGACTCATTTTTATCCTAATTGCACGACATTGTAATGCTTTATTATTATTCTGATTCTGATTTTCTAGCTTATTTATTTGATCAATGTTTCTGCTGCAACTGTTGTTTTGTTATACGCTGTGTTGATATATGAATTACTTAGTTGTTGTGCATTGTTTATAAATACATGTTAAGATTAATATCTATCGCGATAGAAGATACCATCTTCTTATTATGAACAATTTTAGGTGTGCTGTATACATTTTTTGAGATTGTCTCTTTATTTTACTGAAGTTACATTTGAACACATCGGCTAACACTGGTTAAAGAACCTATCAATGTTAGGTTTTATTGTACTTAACCCTTTCGTAGGCCTTTAGTTTATCCGATAAGATTTGAAGTGGCTTCTGCAAATGTATTTGCATTTAATTTTGTGTTTCTCAGTGCAAACCTCCCTGAATTTTACCTGCACTAGTATTAGATATAGCTAGTAGGATTGACAATTGTAATCTAATCCTACTCCTTACGTCTTTGAGAAGTCCATTAATAGTATCAGATAGAATAGCAGCTCTCAAAGATCCGTGAGTTTCTTGTTGAGACTAACTCTCTTTTTCATTGGGACTTGTGGGGTGAGGGCTTTGGTATTTCCTGCTCTGATGTTTGATATTAATATGTATTTCTATCCAAATTACTCATTCAATTGGTTGATTTTGGCAATTGTGTTATCTTTTAGAACTTTGTCTGATTCGTACTGGTCTTTTGATGACAGGTGAATGTACCTAAGGTGAAGAAGACTTACTGCAAGAACAAGGAGTGCGGGAAGCACACCCAGCACAAGGTGACCCAGTACAAGAAGGGTAAGGATAGTTTGGCTGCCCAGGGAAAGAGACGTTATGACCGTAAACAATCTGGATATGGTGGTCAGACCAAGCCAGTCTTTCACAAGAAGGTAACTATTTTGTTTGATTAATGTAAAACTTGAATGTTACCTCAGCATTGTATATTGACATAGCTCGTGTATTATTGCTCAACAGGCCAAGACAACTAAGAAGATTGTGTTGAGGCTACAGTGCCAGTCATGCAAGCATGTCTCTCAGCACCCCATCAAGGTTTGTGTTTCAGTATACTGATTAATGATCTTATTCTTGTGTCTTGTAGTTATGTATTTGTGTTTTTGCTGACTATATGTGTCAACGGTGTTGTTTGTGCAGCGTTGCAAGCACTTTGAGATCGGTGGAGATAAGAAGGGAAAGGGAACTTCACTCTTTTAGATGTGTTATTATTGTGTTTCAGATTATTTAGTGAATGGTGAAACTTGTTATACCCATCTTCAAAGAATCACTAGAGTATTTTTGACGCCTATCATTTTAGTGTTCTTTGACAGGAATATATACTTGCTGAGTTGCTTTTACATTGTTACCCGACTGACTAGTCTATTTATCTACGAGTACTTAGTATGGTTATTTTTATGGGTGTTATTGTAGACTATAACAACCTCTCTGTATTTCGAATCTGAATGGATCACATTGGTTAATAGCTGTATAAATTAACAAGAACATCTGGATTCAGACTTACAAACTCGGTATCTGGCATCAAGAGGTTGATCATCTTTGAACAATTGAACGCAAATTATCTGCTGAAACAAGCTAATGTGCACATGCATGAGCTCTGCGTTTGCCATGTGCTCTTTGATAGTGGTCGTTGCGTTTGACGTGAAACATACCCTCTAATTTGGGTGATTTTTTTCTTAGCATTTTAATACTTATTTTTTTGACGAAACTAGCATTTTAATACTTCTTATGTTTTCGTTAACGCAACTGTTTGATCAACCGTATGGCTTTGAACATTCTTACTGTTCCTATTAAAAATAATACTTTCTCTGTTTTTTTTTATTTGACACGTTTATTTAGTTATGTTTGCCCTTGCATGATATTATATGGAGTACTTACTTTGATCTTAGTTAAAATTCTCATATTTGCGACTTTTTTAGGAAAATGAATAAAGAAAGGAAAAATATGGAATTTGATTAATTAAACGGGAATAAAAGAAAACATCAATGCCCGTGGCCTTGGAATCAACTATTACTTGTTTTAGCTGACAAGTTGTTAGCTAATATATGATGTGTTATAATTTTTCCAAGCACTCACATTTATTTTAGGGTGTAGGAATCACAAATTTTACCTAATTTTTACTTGAAATAATTTTGGGAAAACAACTATTTAGACTAATTTCAAAAGGTGGCCCTTACCACGATTATACCCATAAGCCCAAAGGTGAAAAGGTCTAAATATAATGCATTCAATTTGTGAATAAAACATGTAGAATTTCCTTCTAAATTAGACGGAATATTAATGTAGACACAACTAATAAAATTCAATTCAAATCGTAACAATTTTATCCCTCTCCAAACAATCTACCAACAAGTAAACAATTTACCAATTAATTAAAACCGCTATTTTTTTTTTTTCCATAGTTACACTACCAAATCATAAGCGAAAGCGATTTGACTCCTTAAACCAAAGCTTTACCAAAAGTCATTACACATGATGACAAAGACCACCAACATACCAACTTTTGTAGGCTTTTGATTAATTCTAATCAAGAACAATTTAAAAAAAAACCAAAATAGATAAAAGTAGATTTAAGCCATTCAACTATCAAACCTTTCCCAAGATTCTATTTCCAACTACCACCTATACAAATACATAGATACACTCAATTGTCTTGATTTTGATTTTTCTTCCCAACCAAAAACTTTATTATAAATCAATCAAATTATTCAAATATAATTAATACATGCTCTCCCACACACTTTGCACTTTCTACGTCACACACCCTTTTTTTAAATAATAATAATAATAAAAAAGAATTGAATAGAATAATAAAAAAAATATCAACATTTATTTTATTTGTTTCTTTTATAATTCAATTTTTGTCATTCTACCACGTCTCTCCTTCTTCTTCTTCGGGGGTTTCGAAGCTGCTCTCTTTGTATGCTTTGAAATCTCTCCTTTTCTCTCTCTACTTTCTCTCTCATCATTTTCCTTCGGAAAACTCTTCAATGGCGGAATCGAAGCTCGTTTTCTTGTCGATTTTGTTGCTGTTTTCTTTGCTTTTTAGCTGCGGAATCGCAGATTCTGGAAATTCGGAACTTATTGAGGAAGTTCGATCGGATGATTCTTCCGCTCTTAAGCTTGAATTCGATCAGCTTAAGTCTAAGATCCAACTTCTCGGTTAGGTTTTTGAATTTTAGTTTGTTTTCATTGATTTTTTTGATTGATTTTGATTGTAGTGACTGTTCTATATGTGTTTTTATTACTTTGAATTATGATTTTCGATATAAATTCTTAATTTTGATTAAGATTTCAATGTTAGTTGTGAATGATTCGATTTGATAAGGTTTTGATTTGTTATTGAAGTGAATGTTGATTGAATTTATGATTTTTATTTGTAGTAAAGCTGTTATTGAATTTTGAGTCGAAAGAGAAATTAGGGTTACAGATTGTAATTAAGCTTAGAGTATTCAATTGGAAGAGATAATATGTGTTTGGATATTGTGAAATAATAATCAAATTGTGATCTTGAAGTTTCACAAAGTAGTAGTTAAAGTTTACAATTATTATTACTATTCATTGATGAAACTGTTGGTAATAATGTGATGGATGATTGGTAGCCATCAAATTCCATTGATTGCGTCGAGACGTGGTAGTTTGTAGCAAAGCATTGTAAGCGATGTCACGTATTGAGGTAATGAGGTGCTTTCTTATTTGATAAGTGGACGCTGTTTGCTTGTTGTAGAGACTCGCCTTGACGAGAGCAATGTGAATTTGAAGAAAAAGGATGAGAAAATATCGGAATTGGAGGTTGTTATTCAGGAGAAGTCGGATGTTGTTGCATCGTTGCAAAGTGAGATTGAGAATGCTCAGGTTTGAATTGTGTTTATTGCTTATTTATTTATTTATTTATTTATTTATGTATTATTATTAATCTTGAGCATAGTTATGTTTTTGTATGCTTCAGATCATGGAGACACAGGGTGAGAATACTGAGAAAGTGCTAATGAGAATTTCTGTTGAATTTATGTTTAGACAGTAGACGTAGACGATAGACTAAATAAAAGTTTGGTTTAGACAATGCTGAAGAGATTTACGGGATTATTAATAGTTTGAACATAGTATTGATTCCGTATTTTTTTTTGTTTTTGTTTTTGTTGGTTCAGAAAAAGGGAACATCTGACGCTGAGGAGCGGGTTGGGAAGGCTCATGCTCGGGCTAGTGAGTTGCAAAAGCAGGTACTTAAAGGAAAATGCTATAAACCTTTTGGTCAGAATTAGAATCTTTAATAAGTGATTATTTGCATTCCTATGTTTCATAGGTTGACAAATTGAAGAAAGAAATTGAAGGTCAGAAAAAGGAAAAGGAGGCCTTGGAAACCCGAGCAATTGAATCAGAGAACAAAATTTCCGAATTGAGTTCTAAATTGGACAAGGTAAATTAGTGATTGTAAATTTGTAATGGCCATCTAAAGTCGGCAAATAAGTAGTAATTGGGTTAAAAAAAAATACAGTGCATCTACAGAGATCTAAGAGTTCTTTTGGTAAAGTAACTATGTAGTTTGCTCTTGTTTGATGGATGCATTTCTGGCTTTTTAACGGGTGTGAATTTTAATGACAAACTTTGGAAAATTCACTGCGTTTTGAGTTTAAGTGATGAGTTGAGTTAATATACTGTTCCTCTTGGAGAGTTGGAGTAGGTAATTATTTTCTCAACTTTTGCTTTATGTCTGATTGTACAGCTCCAGAAGATCAATGATGAACAGAAGAGCAGAATCCGTAAAACTGAGCGTGCTCTTCAAGTGGCAGAGGTATATGTTTTTGATGCTTCATGCCTGCCTTTTTTTTATTACTTATTTTTAGATAGATGAATTACCTTAGCATTTTGTTGATTTTATTTTGTTTTAAATTAATGCTATCAGGAAGAGATGATGAAGGCTAAGTCAGAGGCCACCACAAGGACTAAGGAGCTAATGGAGGTAAAGATTTGTTTGAAATTTTTTAACTTATGACTTCTGAGTTGTTGCTACAGTCAGCCTGCTTGGTTCCAGTTTTATACTGTCGAATTTACTAAATTTAAGGGTTGCATTGGAATTTTTCTTTGGAAAATGTTCTTACTTAGTAGTTTGTATTGACACGCTAACATATGTTTAGTTTTTTTTTTTTTTTTTTTTTTTTTTTTTTTTTTTTTTAACTTATGTTCCTTTTGGGTGCATGTATTCCCTTTTGGGTGTCTCAAAACATTGTGCTTGTTTCTATTATTTTCTTTATTTACATAATATTACCATAATACACCTACTTTTATTTTTACCTTTAACATATAAGGTCCCATACATTTCCCTGAGTTTTCATGTCATTATTTACTATTGTTCCCCATATAAGATAGCCACATATCCAAAGATTTATTAAATGTCATTTTATGTATTTCTTACTTAAGAATATTACACTCTCCCTTTACTATCCTTAATTCACATGAAAGATGAGAAATGGGCACTATATATATTATGGGACAAAGGGAGTAATATAGTTTTTAAAATTACTGAGGTGCAATCGAGTAATTTGATAGGCCTTTGGCATTGTTGTTAGATCTAGATATCCCTTTATGATACTTAGTTATATTCTGACCATTTTAGCAGCATTTGTTGCTATAGGTTAGTTTGCAGTTAAGTTTGTAGCTTTTAAGATCATACGTAGATCATTTTTATGCCTTTTTGCTGTGAAAGGGAAGGTTGGAAAATTATCTCTACAATGGATTTTCTTGTCGTTAATTCCTTTCGTTGCAAAATGTCGTATGTATTGATGCATAGTTGTCTCTTAAATTGTGGGTTTGATTCTTGGTGTCAGACTACACATGTTGCAAATATCGTAGTTTTAGAATTATGAAAAAGAGGTATTCATGACACGATTTCTATCAAGGTTTAGGACCTATTTGACCAATATACATGTGATTTTTATTTCCCCATTCCAAGGTTGAGGCAATGTGTATATGATAAAGGTAGTAACATAATTCCTTCAGAAATTGGTTTGGATTGCAGTACTATCCTTTATCACTAGGAATTACACTCTTTAACTCTAGACCTTGTTAGGGTCCTGCTGATTGCCGAGGCTAATTTTTTTATAACAGTAGTCAGTAGATGTAGTATCATAGAAGCACTGCTTATGCAGGCATAATAAGATACTAGTGTGCTTTTGAAAGTTACTGAGATGTGTTCCTAAAATAATACTCAAAGCTCTTTGGAAATATACTACCTATTATTCTTTATGGTATAATGTGAGAAAATTTGATCATTTTTGTCCAGAGCTCAAGTAGCTTGGTCTTCTCCATAATGATGGTTTTAGGCTTTAACAACAAAAATTTGAAAGCTCGGACCTATTGTGTAGCTAAAACCTTAGGATGCATCTTCTTTAAGGATTTGATTGATAAGTTCATGATTTTGTAAATAATTAAAAGA